CTGTTAAATTTGAACATACATTGCCAAATTAAGTTTCTTAGTGTTCTCTTTGTAATTGACAGATGCTCCGGTAAGATAAAGATCAATGATGGACCAAGAATAAAGGAAGGAAGAGAAGGAGAGCAACTTTTAAAACACTGTGGATTCCTTCCATCCCCTCTGCTTTACCATTTATGCAGAAAACTACATCTAAAAACATAGAAATGAAAGATGGAGAGAGTAGGAGCCCTTATTTTTGCTGTTTGGGAAGAGCCCTTTGGAGCTGATCTGACCATTCAAAGCAGTTCCAAGGGTCTTGCAGTCATATAAGCTGAAACTAGGAATGTGCCTGATGACATTCTGAAATAGAGGGGGTCCCTGCAGCGGCTTATTTGATGATTTTATTCCTTCATGAATGATGTCTTGACAGATGGTTTTTACTGAGTGTTATAGAGGATTCTTTTCTCTAAGCACAATCTCAGTCCCCAACTTATATTTAATATTTTGTCAAACTACCATCTTCCACAGCTTATAGAATTAAATATATACAGATGAATCCATATGTTCTGGCTCATAACTTTCTACTTTGATAATTTTTACATATATTATCATAAACAATATTTTAATTGTTGTTTTTCAGTCGCTAAGTCGTGTCCAACCCTTTGTGACCCCATGGACTGTAGCTTGCCAGACTCCTCTGTCCATGGAATTCTCCAGACAAGAATACTGGAGTGGGTTGCCATTCCCTTCTCCAGGGGATCTTCCTGACCCAGGGATCAGACCTGGGTCTCCTTCATTGCAAGCATATTCCTTACCATCTGAGCCACCATGGAAACCCATTCACTTCTTAACAACCATGAAATGTGTAAAGAAGAAAATGTTAACTGAAAAGGCTCATATAAGAAAGAACAACTAAACAAATGGAAACTCCTTAAAGGGAAACTTTTAAAAAAAATAATGTTTATGACAACTTAGAATAGCTTCACAGAACCGAAATAATAAAAACTCAAACCGCCACCAATGATGATGGCTATACCAGGACAATGAGTGATTAATAAGAAACTGAAGAAACTTGAAAGTCCTTGAATCTAATATCCAAGTGTGTCAAGACATCAATTTTCATGCCTGTTCAGATATAAGGAGAAAAGGAAAGGGAAAGCAATGAAGCATGCAAGAAGGGAAGATATGGTTGGGTAGTCGCGGAAAGTTCTTAAAAGGGGTGTTGACAGATAAAAACCCAGAGCTGAATTCCAGTAAGGAATGGAAATGGGTCTTGTGCAACCTATGGTTCCCTACAGTCCCTTCATCTGAACATGCAGCACTGACACTAAGAGGATGTCCCCGATGAAGTCCCTTGTCACTGTCTTAGCCCACTTACCTTCTTCCTTGGGCTTCCCACTTTTGGCTAGAGAATGTAATAACAGTAGCAAATAGTTGCAGTTGAATCACTGTAGGCCTGACACTATGCTAAGGAATTTTACTTGTATGATCTCTTTTAATCATCACAACAACCCTCTGAAATGGGTAACCTATGGAGAAGGCAATGGCAACCCACTCCAGTACCCTTGCCTGGAAAATCCCACGGACGGAGGAGCCTGGTGGGCTGCAGTCCATGGGGTCGCTAAGAGTCGGACACGAATGAGTGACTTCACTTTCACTTTTCACTTTCATGCATTGGAGAAGGAAATGGCAACCCACTCCAGTGTTCTTGCCAGGAGAATCCCAGGGACGGCGGAGCCTGGTGGGCTGCCGTCTATGGGGTCACACAGAGTCGGACACGACTGAAGCGGCTTAGCAGCAATCGTCCACACTGAATAGTCCAGGAGACTGAAGTTCAGCAAGGGTAAGTAACTTATCCAAGTTCACACAGTTGGTGGCAAACATTGGACTTGAAGACAGCCCCCTGCATGATGCTTTAATGCCTGGAAAGAAGTATTTAGTTGCAGAGGTTAAAAGTAATGACATATAAACACCACTTCTGAGACTTTTATTCAGTATCTTCTTGCCATGGTCATGCTTCCATATTGACAACCATCATCTGTGACTCCAACAGTGTCTCCTCACTCAGCTGTTCACAAGGTGCATTTAGAACCTTCCAGACAAAGTCTTCCCAGGTGGCTTAGAGTTACAAAAATCTGCCTGCAATGCCCTGCCAATGCAGGAGACACACATCAGGAAGATTCCCTGAAATGGCAAGCTACTCCAGTATTCTTGCTTGGGAAATCCTATAGACAGAGGAACCTGGCAAGCTATAGCCCACAGGGTCACAAAGAGTTGGACAAAGCTTAGCAACTAAACAACAGCACCACAACAGATGAAGTCTGCCTCTGTCCATAGTAATGATTCAAAATGAAACAAATTATGTCCAGAATCTTCTCTGAAGATTAGCCTTTGAGCATTCTCATTGGTGTTCTCACTTTTTAATTTTTAATTTGTAGAGCTAACAGGATGAGATCACTGTTTCCAGGGTTGGAAATATTCTCCACGGGAGTTCCTTCTGTTGAAGGATGTCCCTGTAAAGCTGGGAGCTAAGCAAGGCTATGCTCTAGCTCCTGGGTGTCAGTACCATGCTTCTGGGGCAGTGGGCAAGGTTGCTGCACATTTTGTCTCTGGAAAGGACAGGTGAATGGAGAACTTGAGAAGAGTACTGGGAACTCCACAAGGACAGAAACCCTTTGTGCTCCCAACACAGTGCCCAGCTGAGGATGACAGGCCCTGTCCTAGAAACTTGAGGGTGCCAGCACTGTCCTCACCTTTGAAAGGCTCACCACCTGACTCTGAATCCTGCTGAGTCCTCAGCATATTAAAAAGCAGAGACATTATTTTGCAAACAAAGATCTGTCTAGTCAAAGCTATGGTTTTTCTAGTAGTCATGTATGGGTGTGAGAGTTGGGCCATCAAGAAAGCTGAGTGCCAAAGAATTGATGCTTTTGAATTAGTGTTTTGGAGATGACCCTTGAGAGTCCTTTGGACTGCAAGAAGATCCAACCAGTCCATCCCAAAGGAAATCAATCCGGAATATTCATTGGAAGGATTGATGCTGAAGCTGAAGTTCCAATACTTTGGCCACCTGATGTGAAGAGCTGACTCCTTAGAAAAGACCCTGATGCTGGGAAAGATTGAAGGCAGGAGGAGAAGGGGACAATAGAGGATGAGATGGTTGGATGGCATCACTGACTCAATGGCCATGAGTTTAAGCTAGCTCCACGAATTGGTAATGGACAGGGAAGCCTGGCGTGCTGCAGTCCATGGGGTCACAAAGAGTTGGACATGACTGAGCGACTGAACTGAACTGAACTGAGTCCTCATTGCAGGAGGGCATGATGTGAGCACCTGGCTCAGGGAAGCCTTCTCAGAAAGTTCCATCAGACTGAGACCTATGGAAGAAGTCCAAGTTTTCCAGGGATCATAGGAAAGCACCCTTGAGGACAGTCCTTCTCAAAACTGCAAGCTCCTAGGGAGATTGGAAAAACATAGTGATGCCCGAGGCCCATGCATGCGGATGAAAACGCTGTAGGCTAAAGTGTGAGCTGGGCACTGGGACTTTAGTACTTCAACCTTCAGCCAGAGCTGAGCATCTGCACCTGAACTGACTGTACTTTACAGTCACCTAAGAAGTTTTCGGAGTCCCTCCCCAGAGAATTCCAGTTTGTCTGGGACATGGCATCTCTAGGCTTGAGAATCGCTGTAGGTGTTAGTAGCAGCATGTACAAGGGCCAGAAACAGAACACATGGCCAGTCCCATGGTAGGAGTGTAAGGAGGAGAAGTAGGCGCTAAAGGTTGGGGAGGGCCTAGACCAGGAAGAGACTGGGAGCCCAATGATGACTTTTGACCTTTGAGGGATGATGGGTAGAAAGAGAGAGGTTTAAGAAAAGAAAGTGACGTTATAAAATTTGCTTTCAAGATACTGGATGCAAGATGGAAGGCAAGGAGCGCATTTGGTTGGAGGTGATCCACAGGCAGACTGGTGGAAGATGGGGATGTTGGATATAAGACCCAGAAATTTTTGTCTCAGGTCTCTTTAATTCTGGAGGGACAAAGAAAATCAACTTTCTTTTTTTTCTTTTCTTACTCAAGTGATTTACAGAAAAGAAAAGCATCTTTCCTCAGACACTGCAGGATCCTTGATTGGGGAAGGAGGGTGGAGGGTAAAAAGAGGCTGTCTGGAAAGTTCCTAAAGAATGTCCAGTTCATTCATCAGAAGACTCCAGCAACCTCTGTGCAGTGAGGGACAATCTGATTTCACTCTTGAGACAAGGCAGGGGGAAGGCTGAGGTGTTGCAGGAACTAAATTCAAGAACTATGTTAATCGTCACCTTGGTATGTGCCGAGGCCTAATGAAGATCCAGGTCCACTTTGGTATTTACTCTATAAAACTTGGCTCCTGATGTTTTTTGCCTTGGGATTACCTAGGAAAGGAAGAGGTGATGGGGAGAGGATGTTTGCGGTCTTTCATCTTTCTCAGGTGACTGCACCTGCTGGGAAAACGGCCCCAAGCCTGGAATGATTCAGAAGTCTGAGAAAGCAGTAGGCAGTGGCTCATGGGAAAATGATGACTTAGCACCACTCAGCAAACATGGCATAAGAATAGAGTATGAAAAACACCCGCACATATCCGGAACACATCCTTCATGCAGGCGCTAGCCCCCCCGCCCTGGGTGAGCCTGCTGAAATCCGCATAAATCGGCACGACGTGCATTATGAGTTCTCTCCCTCCCTCAAGTTGCAGATGAGAAATGTCACCTCAGCTTGGTACTGACGGTGACTGACGCCGCTGAAATGTGCCTTAGGGCTCTTTTAAAGTCCCCTTCCTGTGGCGGGTAATATTAAGTAATTAAATATCAAGCTGTGTCTTTCCAGTTCCATCTTGGAAGTGGGACTGCGCCGCCTCTTGTTGGAGAAGCAGGACGGTTCGTTACCTACCTGGAGTGTCTTCGACTGTGGGCATCCCCCGCTGTTCTTTAAGCCACGCAAAGCTGCACCCGAGCTTGTTTGACGTCTGCTCTGTCGAGTGTCCGTGATGTCGGGCCCTGAGGGAGGTGAAGGCTTTGTGGTCAAGTTCCATGGCCTGCCCTGGTCCTGCTCTGTTGAGGATGTGCAGAATTTCCTCTCCGACTGCACGATCCATGACGGGGTCGCAGGTGTTCATTTTATCTACACTAGAGAGGGCAGGCAGAGCGGTGAGGCTTTTGTTGAACTTGAATCAGAAGATGATGTAAAATTGGCCCTTAAAAAAGACAAGGAAAGCATGGGACATTGGTACATTGAAGTGTTCAAGTCCCACAGAACCGAGATGGATTGGGTGTTGAAGCACAGTGGTCCAAACAGTGCTGACACTGCCAGTGATGGTTTCGTGCAACTTCGAGGACTCCCGTTTGGATGCACCAAGGAAGAGATCATTCAGTTCTTCTCAGGGTTGGAAATCATGCCAAGTGGGATCACATTGCCCGTGGACCCCGAGGGCAAGATTACAGGGGAAGCCTTTGTGCAGTTTGCCTCACAGGAGTTAGCAGAGATGGCTCTAGGGAAACACAAGGAGAGAATAGGGCACAGGTATACTGAGGTGTTCAAGAGCAGTCAGGAAGAAGCTAGGTCATACTCGGATCCCCACTCAAGTTCATGTCAGTGCAGCGGCCAGGGCGCTACGGCCGCCCTGGCACAGCCAGGAGGTATATTGGCATCGTCAGGCAGGCAGGCCTGGAGAGGAGGAGGTCTGGGGCCTACAGTGCGGGCTATGGGGGTTATGAGGAGTACAGAGGCCTCAGAGATGGCTACGGCTTCACCACTGACCTGTTTGGGGGAGACCTCAGCTACTGTCTCTCTAGGATGTATGACCATAGGTATGGAGGTGGCAAGTTCACTGTCCAGAGCACCACTGGACACTGCTCCACGTGAGAGGGCTGCCCTACAAAGCCACAGAGCACGACCTTTACAACTTCTTCTCCCCGCTCAACCCTGTGAGAGGCCACATTGAGACTGGCCCTGATGGAAGAGTGACCGGCGAAGCTGATGTTGATTTTGCCACTCACGAAGAAGCCATGGCAGCCATGTCCAAAGACAGGGCCAACATGCAACATAGATACATAGAACTTTTCTTGAATTCCACAACTGGGGCCAGCAATGGGGCATATAGCAGCCAGATGATGCAAGGCATGGGAGTGTCAACCCAGTCCATTTACAGTGGCCTTAAGAGCCAGTCTGTGAGTGGCTGTTGTGGGTCTGGCTATGGTGGCCAGAACAGCATGGGTGGATATGACTAGTTTTGTAGTAGCTTTTGAGTTATTTCAGTCAAATTTTCACAGGCAGCCAACAAGCAGTGAAAAGCAGTTATTACTCTAGAGGAAGCTATGGGACCCATTTTGCAGCATGAGTTTGTAAAATCTGTTTTCTCCTGCAAACTTTCTTCTAGTATGTGATATTGAGTAAACTAAAACTATTTTCAGCTTTTCTCAATTAACATTTTGGTAGTGTACTTCTGGAGTGATGTTATCTGAGGTTAAAGTAGCTTTAAGTACGTTAAATGTGGATCTTTTACACCACATCATTGTGAACACATTGGGGAGGCGTGCTTTTTTGGAAAACTCAAGATGCTAGATCCCTAATTCAAAGAGGACATTTCTCATGTTTGTTCATTCTAGTTTATTTTCATTTAAAATTTCTTAGATTAAGTTTAAGCTTTTTAAAAGTTAGTTTTGAAAATTGAGACACATTACTAGTACTCTAGGAATTGGTGAGGCCTTGACTTAAAAACTTTCTTTGTACTGTGATTTCCTTTCGGGTGTATTTTGTTAAGTGAAACTTGTTACATTTTTTTGTTAACTAAATTTTTTTCTTAAAATAAAAAGACTTTTTCACACACACAAAAATAAATATCAAGCTGTATCAATAATTTGCTTCTCAAAATTGGGAATCTTTCATCAGTGTGAAGATAATTCTGAAGATAAAAGAATCATAGTGTCCTTCAGGTGTAGGATTCACTGTGATCTAAGGGAGGCCAATAGAAAATCAAGAAGGACTCTCCATTTATAACCTTAAATAGAGTACTGTCTAGGGACTTCCCTGGTGGTCCAATGGTTAAGACTTCACCTTCTAATGCAGGGGCTGTGGATCAACCCCTGGTCAGGGAGCTAAGATCCTACATGCCTCATGGCCAAAGAAACAGAACATAAACAACAGAAGTAATATTGTAACAAATTCAAGAAAGACTTTAAAAGTGGTCCACATCAAAAAAAATGTTTTTAAATAAATAGAAATAGACTATAATCTATAAAAATATCAAATCACTATGCTGTACACCTGAATTAATTTTGTAAATCAACTATATTCAATTAAAAACAATTAAAAATATTTCATCAAATTGTTTCTGTCCTCGTAGCCTTGACTATCTGTGTGTGTATATTAATACCACTTTACATAATTTAGCATGTTCTTCAAAATAAAAATAAAATAGTTCTACATAATGGGAAGGGGCTTCCCAGGTGGCACTAGTGACAAAGAACCTGCCTGCCAATGTAAGAGACAAAAGAGATGTGAGTTCGATCCCTGGGTCTGGAAGATCCCCTGGAGGAGGGAATGACAACCCACTCCAATATTTTTGCCTGGAGAATCCCATGGACAGAGGAGCGTTGTGGGTGCATGGGATTGCAAAGAGCCAGACAGGATTTCAGCCATTCAGCATGCATGCACATAATGGGAAAAAAAGAACCCTCAGGGGGTCAGGGCATCAGAGATCTAATCTATATTTTCCAGATGGGTTAAAACACTAGCTCTTTTCATTAAACTGTCAGCATGGCTAAGTTTTTACACTTATCTTGAACTCCTTCTATTAGGTCAAAACACAGGGTGGAGTGGCTTGCCCTTTTAGTTTCTTTCTTAAAAATATTTATAAATGATGCCATTTACTGAGCTTCTATTTGCCATGTGCTTTTAAAACATTACTTAGTGAATCTTTACAACAGTTCTTCAGAGTATAGAATTACTTCCGTTCTTTTTTTTACTGAGAGTGAGGCTTGGAGAGGCTGAGTGCCTTCCCCAATAGGGTGTCCCAGTTAGTGGCAAAGCTGGGCTGGGAATCCACCTCTAACTGGCTTTCCTTTTTTATCTATCATCCTCCAGAGCACCTCAGTGACTCTTCTCTCTAGGAAACCATGTCCCTGGAGGCCAAGGCCAGAATATAAGATACACTGTGCAGTTCACAGAATCAGCCCCTTCCCCAGGACTCAGCTTTATGGGAAGTAGTCTCCCCTATTCAGTCATCTCTTTTTTGATGTATTGGCTATTTAATGACCAACATTTTTGATCAAAGGGAGAGGGTGATGAATGTGCTAGGGTCCCTGCTGTCATGGAGTATGGGGTTTCATGGGATAAAAAAGGTGATAAAGGAATCAATATCTGAAATGCATCCAGTGACTTGGGTCGAGGGCAGTAAACTGGGTTTTCAGAGGCTTCTCTAGGTCTTCCTTGGTTAAGAATATACCTTCCAGTGCATGGGATGCTGATTCGATCCCTGGTTGGGGAACTAAGATCCCACAGGTGGCAGGGCAACTAAGCCTGTGAGCTGCAACTCTTGAGTCCACGTGCCACAATGAAAGATCTTGTGTGCCACAAGGAAGACCTGACAGCCAAATAAATAAATATTTTTTAAAAGAGAGAAGACTTCTCCACTGAGTGCTATTTAAGGTGGAAAGGGAATGATGTGAAGGAACCAGTCATGCAAAAATCTGCTGCAAAAGCCTTCCAAGCACAAGGAACAACCTGTACAGAGTCACAGAGGCTAGAAAGTGCATGATGACCACACAGTTGCTGCCCTCTCCCCTCAGAGAGACACACATCTCTTGAATACTTAAGGTAAGGCAGTCATTGTGTTACTGTGCAATGATATAGGTGTGCATAATTCTAAACCATTTCCTATGTGAAATATGCTAAGATAATCCTGTGAATAACTATGGCACATGAAGGAGTTAGATTCTAGGAAGAAAGCAATTTTTGCAGCTAGTATTTCTGAGTGATGTCTTTGTTCCTATCACAGTGTTGTGTTCCTTTGCATGCATTATCTTGTTAACCCTCATTTAATAGAAGTGGCCATTATTATTTTTATTTTATAGGTGAAGAAATAAGTCTCAGAGAGGTGGTATCAGTTTGGTAGGGCTGCCATGACAAAGTCCATAGACAATGTAGCTTAAACCATGGAAATGTATTTTCTCACAGTTTTGGAGGCTAGAAGTGTGAGATCAAGGCATTGGCAGAGTTACATTTTTCTGAGAATTCCCTCTGGCTTTACCATCTTCTTGCTGTATCTTCACACTCTCTCCCCTCCATACAGGTGTGTGTCCAAATTCCCACACCTTATTAGGACACTGCTCATATTGGATTGTGAAAGTGAAAGTCACTCAGTCATGTCTGACTCTTTCCAATTCCATGGACTATACAGTTTATGGAATTCTCCAGGCCAGAATACTGGAGTGGGTAGCCTCTCCCTTCTCCTGGGGATCTTCCCAACCCAGGGATCGAACCCAGGTTTCCCGCATTGCAGGCAAATTCTTTCCCAGCTGAGCCAAATGACCTCATTTTAACTTAGTTCCTCTGTAAAGGCCTATGTCCAAATACAGTCACGTTCTAAGGTACTGAGGGTAAGGATTTCAAGATATGAATTTGAGGATTGGGGGGAAATAATTTAGCTCATCCCTCAAGAAGGAAATGGCAGCCCACTCCAGTATTCTTGCCTGGGAAATCCCAGGGACAGAGGAGCCTGGTGGGCTATTGTCCATGGGGTAGCAAAAGAGTCAGACATGACTTAGTGACTAAACAACAACAATTCAGCTCATGACAGAGGTTAAAATGAGTCTCTCAAGATCAAATGGAGAGTAAGCAGCTCATCCAGGGCATGGAGTTGCCTCCTTCCTGCTCTGTAAGCCTTAGGATGACTCTGTAGTCTTGCTCCTCCTGGTTCCCTGGTTGGTGTTTGGCCTTGAACTCCTGCTGTGTGCCTGCTGTGGGTGCTGAGGGCAAGTGCCCGGAAGGGTTCCCCAGCTCCCTCTCTGGATGAAGCTGCTGTGTCATGGAGGAGAGATATAGGAAACAGGTAAACAAACACACAACAAGGCCATTACAAACATATATCAAGTAACATAAAGGAAATAGATAGGAGGATGTGTGATGTGACAGAGCATGACTGGGTAGGAGTGGGCATCTCCTTTTGAGAGGAGGGTCACCAATGTGCTCTCTAAGAAGGTAATCTTTTTCTTAAAGGTCATTTTATTGTAAAACCAAAAGTGCAACATTGGCAAGAAATCATTTAAGCAACTGATCTTCTCTAATCATTAAAAGGGTGTCTTTTTACCTTGGCATCAACCAACTGGGAAATTATGTTGCAAGAAACTTTGGGGGTAAAGAATGCTGAATTCTGGACTGGAGCTTTTGGCTATTTAAGGAACCAGGGGTGGAACCTTCTTGTTTTCCCTGGGAATGATCCCACTTTAAGATAAGAATAGTCAGGTAAAAACAGCAATTTTTGAACAGCTCAGTTTTAAATTCTGTTACTTTGTAAAAATCTTTTTATTTTAAGAAGGTAATCTTGACACTGAGACCTACAAGGGAAGGTGTCAGATCCGTGTCAGGTTAGAGATGAGTGATCCTGAGGTGAAAAGATCTCTTTTTAGGTAAGTCACATCCCCATGCTGCTCAGCATGGGTGCTATGACAGCAAACCTGTCTTTGCAACACAGAGGGTGGTGCCTTAGAGGAAAAGTACTTGGGAATGGCTAGAGTAGAAGAGTGGGAATCAGAATCTCTGGGTTCTAATCCACTTCGGCACCTACTGCTATAGGGTTTGGAAGCTCCTCCTCTTTAGCTGAGCCTCAGCTTCCTCCTATGGGAAGCAGGAATTGTTTAACACGCAGCACTCACCCAGCCTGGGCCCAGATCTTGTTGCTGTGGACGCGTGAGCTCACACCCCCAACAGGGCTCCTCAGACTGAACCGTATCCTGTGAATAGACTCGGGGCCACAACAGAGACCTACAGCCAGGGTTCTAACAGGTTCATCTATCTGCATCTTTTTTCCTCCAACTTTTACTTGAAGGTGATCCCTGCTCAGAGCCCCCTATTGCATGAAGTGATTAAACTCATTTGCTACAGCAAAACATATAAGAAAGTAGGTAGATTGTTTCCCTCCATTCATCAAACACTGCAAGAGAAGCTGGTTACTTTTTGTAGCTAGGAAGCCTCACAGATTGTGCTCTATTTCCCTTGAGAACTCAAGCAT